ATGGATATCCTGCGCCTACACCGGCGGTCTCGGTGAAAGTTTCGCTTTGACATTGCGCTGACGTAAGCAAAGACAAGAAAACAAGGATGTTGACGTATGACAGAATGTGTTCTCATTAAGATGGATAGTTAGCTGTATCAAACTCCAGAAGTGAAAATATTGACGACATGAATCTAGTTGTTTATGTTTATTAGATATCCTTGCCACTGACTGAATTGTCTTTAGGTCATTCCCAGGGGGAAGACATTAACATGTTCTTATACACAGTAGAATTGTAAATGGGATGATTCCTCAACATCATGATAATAACTGTGCCTAAACTACAACAGGGAACTTCTGCTTTTTCTTTCCTCACCCTTACTACCGTCACATTTCCTCTACTTCTTTTGTATGTTTGTCACTCTCTTGTGACCCGTTATTTCCGGGGTGCCTTGATAGTCAAAGCAGACTTGTACTGTTAAAGCTAGAGAGGTGAGAAGAGTAAGCCTGATTCCCTGTAAGGACTTCTCTGTTGACATCCACCCCTTGGCGTTCATATGACCTTATGCAGTTGCGAGGGCCGTAAAACCTTACTAAAACTAAAAACTAAAAGACCTCCTTATCTCCGTCGTTTGTAAAAGGAGAAAATTAAAAGTTGAAGGGTTAAGAGTAAAAACAGCCTAATGTCACATTTACCACTTCCCAACTTTGTAAATTTTTTTAATGATGACCTTGGCTCGTTCTTAACTTGATTTGTTTTATGATAGAAGTACAGTTTGTCAATTACACAGCTGGTTTTTCATTTGATAGATACTCTTGGTTTCTGGGGGGGGGGGGGTCTTCTAGACATCCGTCCATTAGCGGTCAGTGTCGCTTCTTTTAGAAGTGAAGTCTGCACCCGAGAAGCTGATCGTGATCGCCAAAGTAATGAACATGCTTGTAATACTGGTGTGCTTGGTATAATGTAGGCCCATATATATAGCTGGAGCATACTATGTATGTTTCTTGGCATGTTTTATAGGTGTGTACTGATACAATAGCCCGATATGCTCGGCTAACTTATCTCTGAGAGAAACCGGCACAACTTGAGACACAGGACAGGAAAATCTTCTCTCTGAATGACCTTTGGAGGAAAATGAATCTACGGCAAAGGACCACCATCGACCAGCAATGCTTCAATAGATCTGCTGATATACAACGCTACATATATATATATATATATATATATATATATATATATATATATATATATATATATATATATATATATATATATATATATATATATATATATTATATATATATATATAGCTATGTGTACGTTGAGCTCTAGATCAGTTTGAGTACAGAACGATAGCACGGGAAGCCGTTGTGACGTGGACCATCAATTATGTGTTGTCTGAGGCATCCTGAAGTTTTTGTAGGGGTTTTGTTGTGGTTTTTCCCCCTTTTTTTGGGGGGGGGGGCAGTGGATAAAGATGGAGGGGAAAGAGGAGGAGTGGAAAAGAAAAAGAAAGCTATCAAGAAGTTATAGGGGTTCTAAATGAGAATTACACCGTTCTATCTCACATTTTGGTAGATTGTTAGAGTATTTTTTAGTTAACTATGACTCTGAGATTATTTTTTTTTTTTTATGTTCTATCCGCTCTATCAAAACCGTAAGATTATTCTAAGCCGATGTCAAGATACTCAAAGAACTGCACTCGAAAAAAAGCTTGACATGTTGTGAAACTCAAAATCTTTGAAGTCAAATTTCTCAAAGGATCGTTTCTCAAAACTAGGTACTGAGCTGACAAAACTTTGTAAATCTGAGGTAGCATGTAGAGTGGCATGGTCATCGTCAGACACTGACAGGGTGGGGGATGGGGGGGGAAGGGGTGCTCTCGTGGCCTAAAGATTAAGGTATTCGCCTCAAATTCAAAGGTCTCGGGTTCAAATCCGGGTAGCGACGGAAAATTTTTCTACTCTAAAAAGGTCTCCTTTCCCTCCTTTCCTGCTCTCTAACAATATTCTGTCGTCTGCTTTCGTTTCCAATTTCTGCCCCCACCTCTTCACCCCCTTTGCCCCCTTCTCTGGGCTCCTGGCTCTTTCTGCAGCCTTTCTACTGTTTCTCCTTAGCTCCTTCCCACTGTTGTCTTTCAGTCACACCCTTGATCTTCTTGTAGGAAAGATCTACACCAAGCCTGCTCGGACAAGGGCGAAAATCTCGGAGGTCCCGTGTACAAGTTGTGCACGTTTAAGATCCCTTAGTGGTCTAAAATCGATAAGAGTGGGCTTCGGCCGCCACCCAGGCAAAAATTAAAAATTTCCTCCCTACTGAAAATGTTTAATGTGTCCGGCGCGTTCATATGACCTTATGCAGTTGCGAGCGCCGTAAAACACTTACCAAAACAAGAGAGTGACGGACGAACCATCATGAAAAGGCGTAGCGGTACCTCAAGATGGTTGTAAAAAAACGACGCGCGTGCATCTGGACTCAGAAGAGATAAGGAGCGGCAGCTCTGACGGAAAACAAAGGATTTTCTTGGCGCGTGCATCTGATCATTCGTCAGTGCTGACAATATCTCTGACACTTAGCCTAGTTCAGATTTTCCTGAGGATTTCTGTCTGTTTTTCCCGGCCTAAACCGGAGGTCTGTCTAATGATGACAAGCACGCTTCTGCTGTTTGGGGGG